CTTCTCGATGCAGGTTTTGATGCAAACTCGTAGTGAGAAGATTCGTGCCCGCATATTGGGTCTGAGAATAGTGAAATATCTTGTAGAGAATCTAAAAGATGAATATTTGGTATTTTTGGAGGAAACCATTCCTTTCCTGAGTGAATTGCTGGAAGACATTGAATTACCAGTCAAGACTCTTGCACAAGAGGTTCTCAAGGAAATGGAATCTTTGAGTGGTGAAAGCCTAAGAGAGTACCTTTGATATGATGTTATGCTAAGGGAATATTTGTAGGTTTGTGTACATACATACAGGTGTCCCAGTTTTGTCAGGTTTTTGAGCAGGTGCTATATTGGAATCATTTTTGTTTAAAATTTAGAGTGAAATTTACAATTACTAACTGCATGATTGTTGTAATCAGAACATAAGGAGAGGAGAATTTTGTTAGTGTATTCCTTCAAGATGCACAAGTTCTTTTGATACTGCTTTAAACAGTTACTGTAAATCTCACATCAGAGCTATTGCATTTACATGGATGGGCTTTGCATTTGCTTCATCATCAGTCAACTTGTTTTTCCTTCATTGATCGGCTAAAATCAATAAAAAAAAGCCCCACAAACTCTCTTAATTTGGTTGACCAGATGAGAAAATTTCAAATCAATTTACTGCAATTATAATATTGTTGAATGAAGTCATTGCAAAGCATCTCCAGGTCACGAAATTGCAATTTTTATATACCAAACAAAGCATTCATTCATTCATTCACATGCTACATACAATAGAGGGATCCAAATTTTGTATTTTCATTGGCTAATTGGGAATATACCAAGAAAATTCATTTTCGTACTTGAAGAAATCTTTTAAAAAAGTACACTGTTTACATTTTGGTTTTCCAAACCTAAATTTTAACAGACAAGGAAATCGTTATATTGATGTTTCCAATGGTTATGATATATAAAATACAAAAACCATGACTGGAAACAATTTATATTAAAAATATTTGAATGAGTAGATAATGAACTCTAATTAAGAAAATATAATAAAAAATAAAATAATTTTATTTTCAAGTGGTGATAATAAGTTTGAAGAGAAAAAAAAAAATGAATACGGTATAAAATATGTTATTTTATTTCTTTTCGAAAAAAACTTTTTGCATCGCTTATTTATATTTTGATGATTGAGAAAAGTTTCTGGGACCAAACCAAAAAGAAAAAAAAATGAAAATAAACAAACAATAAATATGGAATCAGGGTTTACAAGTAGCTTTTGGCAGATCAAGACTGAAACGTGAGTTTGTGAATTAATTATGTTTTTTAATTTAGCTTTTCATCAATCGAACATGTGATCGAAACCATACAAAATAAGCACTTCGTATCGCCCGTGCCCTCACGGAAAGATTCTATTGGCCGAACCCTTTTTTCGAGTTACGCTATTCAAAAATATTTCCGACAGCTACACTCCAAACTAATTAATCCACACACACAATGACACACACGACTATGTGTTGTTCTTTTGCACCTTTTCTTCAATCGGATCAACAAGCAAAAAGCATACAACATATTTATCGTAAGAGAGCCCCCAACAACAAAACAAAACAAACTCATTCTTCTCATTGTTTCAAAAATTTATGTATCTTCATTTGGCTCAACAAACAACAACATGGTGGTTCTCTTGAAAAAAATTGTCCTGATGTTGACGATATTGCCCCTGGCCTCTCCTTTGATCTTGGAAATAAGTGAAAAAACAGTGGGAGAAGAAGTTGAATTGGAGTGCTTGAGCTGGAGGATTAGTGTGGAGGCCAATAATAATTTGAGTCATTGGAAGCAAATCCCAAAAGAGTGTGGAGAGTATGTGAAGCGGTACATGAGGATTAGAGGCTATGAAAGTGATGTTGAGAAAGTTTGTTGGGAGGCCAAGATGTACGCAAGGACTCTTAATTTCACCAAACCCAAACACAAATATGCATGGATTTTCGACATCGATGAGACTCTGATTTCAAATATTCCTTATTATCATCACCATGGTTATGGGTATCTTAACTATTTCCTCCTTTTTTTTTGTTTTTTTTTCTTAATTGTCATTATCATTGGCTATGTGAATGAATTTGAAGAATTTTTTAAAAAATATTATGTTAATATTGTGGAAGAATATTCTACTTTTCTTTAAATACATTTTTTATTAATAATTATATATCTATATAAAAAAATG